GCCCAATGTAATTGTAATCTGTACATTTATATATTTTTAAATATATATAAAACAAATCAGTCAAAATGTCAACAAATTTTAATATATATGTATATATATATATTATAACTCTTTATAAACGCTATTATAGACTAAAGCAGTAACGTTTTTTGAAAAACGCTATAACTAACCGCTACGAAAAGCCCTTTTTCTTGTAGTGAATGCCTAAAATAACTCTAATTCCTAGAGTTATCAACAAGTATCTAACCCAACTCGGACGTGGAATGAAAAAGTTGAGATATGTCCATGATACTAAAGTATGTGTTACATGAAATCGAGTCTGAGCATAAGGAGTTTGCATTGTCCACTCACAGTAAGAAGCTTGCATTCGTATTTGGCCTCATAAAGCTGCCTTTTGGAGCCACTATCAGGGGTTTTAAGAATCCTAGGATCTATGGTGATTTCCATACTGCAATCATGTTCATGTCAGAAGTTGTGAAAAGGGAAATAATTGTTAGGGATGGCAAGAGGTTTCACCATTTTAGTAACGGTGATTACTGGAAGGCATCATAATGATATTTGGACTTCAAACATGAATTCGGAAACAAGCTAGAACCGCAAGGAAACAGGTATGAAGGATAGACCCCATTTGGCTGTAAACAATTTTGGTGGCTGTCAAATTTGCTTGGCCAGCCATTACTTGAATGGAAAATTAGACAAATTTTTCTTCAAAATGAAGCAATTTAAAAACTAATATTTTATTGCTCTCTTAACTTTTAATTTCGTAGAATTTTTAGTATTATTATTATCATTAATCATTATGAATTTACTAGATTTCATTACGGTTTCAGATTTGTGCTTTTTGCATTGTCGTTTTTCAAATTTCTGAGTTTTTTATTTTTATTTTTTATTTTGTCGTTCTTGGTGTGTTTCGTTTAAGTTGTTTTTCAAGTTTCCATCATTTTTATGAGTCTGTCTATTTTCATCTTTTCCGCATTATTGAAAAATCTATTGTTGTTGCCCTTTTTAAATTTTGCTCTCGTTCGTTGAATCTTATCTTTTGGTGGTTTAAATGTTTTTTCGTTAATTAAATTGTCCTTGCTAAATGTTGTTTTTATTTATTATGATTATCATTTTCCATTCTTTTGTCTGTTAATTGTCGTATTTACCAATATCTCTGTTGGTTTGGAAAGTTACTGATTTACTGTGATTCGTAATTGTTATTGTTTTCATAAGCTTTTTTAACGTTCATATCCACGGACATATCAGAATTATTAGGCTACCTCACATTAACATGTTAGCCTATGAAAACTCAATACCTTATAAACTGTAATTCTTCTCCTTACTTTTATTCTCATCTCTCTTAAAACCCTCATACATAGGTTTGTTTTCTGGGTGTATTTCGGTTTTTGTCGAAGTTCTTAAAGTTGTCGTTTTTAAACGTGGTTATCGTCTTTGGATGAGGCTGTTTCTTTCAACTCATTTTGTCGATTTTAAGATGGCTTTCTTTTTTGGTTGTCGTGTTTCATATTATCGTCGTTTCTCGAATATGTTGCTTTTCTTTTTTGTCGTTTTGAATTTGTATTTCTAATGTCATTGCCGTTTCTGTCTTCCATTTATTTTTGTCATCACTCTTTACGTCAGCCGGCTTCTATTTTCAAATTCTTGTCCTTTTTAGATTTGTTTCTCATTGTTTGCCGTCAATGTCGTTTTTCAGGTTCCATGGCTTTTAGACGCCGTTTAAGGTTTCTGTCGTCTTTAATAACAAGTGTAGGAATATCTGCTTCTTGCTCTGCGCAAACAGAAGGCCAACCAAGCGGATAGAGACTAGTAGAGAAGAAATCCACTGGTACTAAGTAAATCTTAGCTTTCTGGGCATTGCATTAATTTGTTCCAACTAACTTCAATTTGGCACTGTCTTGTTATTCCGGGGTAAAGTTTACGCTCAAAATTAGGACAAGAGCCAAGAATTTTCTAGAAGCTTGGTCAATTGGGTAAGTGCCGTTTAGTTTCTAGTCACTCTATTCAACCTTTTCTCAGTTTTCAGGTACTATTGTCTTTTATTTTCTATAGTGGCACCTAATCTACCTTGGGCGTCCATCACGGATTATTATTTAATAATGATTGTTAATTTTCCAGTAATTCAGTAGGCAATATATAAAAGGCTAATACAGATGGAGAGGTGTTGTTTCTACTAATGACGTACAGTGACAGGTTTCTTTTAAAAAAATAAAATAAAACATCCCCTTTGTGCACACTCATTTGAGGTCATTATGTTATGTTCAGAGAGGAGTGGACAGGAAGCTACTAACTCCCCCAATAGAGCCCATCTTTCCGCGAGGACAGGGGACAAAAAAAGTGTAATATAAATACATATTTCTATCATAAATTTATGTTGTTTATGCTTGTAATAAATTTGTTGGGCATTGATCTGATGTCTATTAGATCACTTGACGAGCTAAATAACCAAAATTTGAGTCTGCACTATTGGCTTTTAGACTTTTAGTAAATATTACTGAGTTGTGACCAGTATATTTATTAAAAGCCATTGTTATGCGGTTAGAAAATTTTTATCGTTGCTTCATTGTTATTAATATGTTGATGTGACTATAAGCATATTAGTGTTTGGTAAATATGTTTACAAAACTTTGCAGATACTATAAAAAAAATTTAAGTATTTGGTAAATTGTTGTGGAGATGTATAATGACAAAAGTAAACATACTTTAACACATATTTATAGTTAGTTTTATTTCTATTTTTGTCAATATTCAAAATATAAAAAATGTAATTTTAATTTTATTTATGAAAATACTTCTTAAAAAATAAATTAATTTTATTGATGGGGAAAGATTATTCATCTACTAAATTTCTTATTTTTTGTTGTTATTTTAAATATTTTGATAATTATTAAAAATATTTAAATAAAACTTTAACATAGTATACTTGTTAAAGATTTTCAATTTTTAAAATATTTTTAAAATATATGTTTTTTTTAATTTGATATGGAAAAAGTAAAATAGGTAGATTAAGAATTAAGTTTTATTAGTAAAGTTATTTTAATAAATTTAGATAATGCATCATAAGTTGTTGTGTAAATGCAACATCTAATATGTTTCTCAAATTTTATTGTTTGTGAGCAGCTTTTAAAAGTTGTTGGATAAAAACAAGATTTACTAAATACCTTAATCTGCAGTAGATTCTTTTAAAAAGTTAAAATCAACTTTTAAAGATTTAAAAAAAAAATTAAAATAAACTTTTAAAAGTAATGACAGATGAGTCCTTAGAATCGTTAATGTAATTCTTTAAAAATAAAAAATAAAAATAAAAAATAAAAATAAAAAGGCTGGTTCCTCATGATGTGTGCGGGCATCAAGGTCCTGTGTCCCGTATACTTGAACCTGAATGGCTCATGGGATGTCGTCGAGTTCTTTGGCTTGTATCATTCGCGTCTCCAAAGCTGGACCATGCAAGAGAAAGGATTTCCTTATTAGCTCTGTTTTAAGCTCTAATACCTTCAGGATTACTTCTTTTTAATTTCCAACTACTTGACAATATTTTGAATGAATGAATTGCCCTTTCTTAATAATTAAAAAATTCAAGTGGCAATCTGACATCATTGTCTGGATTGCAGATTATTACAATGTAAGAGAGAGAGAGAGAGAGAGAGAGAGAGAGAGAATTCTCGTGGACTGATATTTCTAATTTTCTATATTACCTTTCGTATGTCAAAGTTGAGTTCAGAAGAACTAAGAAGAGTTGGAAGCATGATGGCATATTGGACATATTTCATGAACAGAAGCAATTCCCTGTACCCATCTTGGATTATTCCATATAATATTAACAGACTTGGCAGTTGGCATCCACCATCTTTTCGTACTGCTTGATCGCTTGCTGTTACATATATAACTTCCTCAACTCCCAGACTTGGAGGCTAAGCAAAAGAAAAATAATTTAGAATCATCATTCAAAATTATTCTTGATTTATGTGTACATTTTATGAGAGAAATATTATAGTGAATTATAAATTATAATTCAAATTAGAATACGAATCCACCAACCAAACAACCCAATTTCAATAGCACTCATGTACGTAGGGCATGGTAGCTCAAATCAGATCATGAGTTAGTTTGTCTCCTATATCCTGGTTTATACTTTTATTTTATGAAATTAGCTCATACTTTTGTCAGACGTTCAATTCACATCTATGGAAATTTCTTCTCTCTTTTTGGCAGACATCACCGGTTTAAGTAGTAGTTTAATGATACCTTATGTAACAAATACTAGTTCCTTTCGTCACCACCATTATAAGTTCTTGGAAATTAGCTACTTATATATGGATTAAGTGAACATGTGATGGGCAGTTCTAAAGTTGTTGGTTTCAATTTTTTACGTCATTAGAACAAGAAAGTATTTCTTTTTTTTTTTTCCCTCGAAGAATAAGAAAGTTAATTATTCAATAAAAAAAAAAGAATAAGAAAGTTAACTACTAGCTAAGTTCGATATTTTCATTAACTCTTGAGTAAGTACACTCCGGTGGTCCCACGCAGGCTAAATGGACGTTTGCAGCCAAACAACCCATAAGAATTTACTAGTACTAGAGGCTTTTTTTTTGTTTTTTTGGTGATTTACAAGTACTAGAGTTAAAAGCCTGTTAATATAGCTTAAAAAAGTTGCGCGTGCTTTGACTGGCCAAAGGGTGGGCGCGTCTGAGACTAGAGAGTGGGCACACATTAATATAAATCCAATTAGCTTGTGCTAGTGCACATGCGCTAGCCACGGTAAGTGCTGGTGGGGACAAAGTAAGACAAAAGCAATATATATCTTTTTTCTTTCTTATCCTCTTAAAATAGAGCATGGTTTGTTGGGATATTCCTTAGAAACCTTCTCCGCTTTCAAATATGGCTCTTCAAATTCACGTAATAGGCAGTTATATAAATATATATATATATATATATATAGTGTAGCATGACCGCCCACATTTGCAGTACTCTTTAAAAAGTCTAAAAGTTAAAACAAGATCATGGATAGGGCATCAATTAGGTGTTTATGGGTTGTGCTGTTAGTTTCCATGGCAATTGTTGGGCTGAAAGGTGAGCCTGACTTGAACAACGGCACCGCTCAAACTCAAGGAAAAGCTCCCTCTTTAGCTATTGCTCAACTTCCTCGAGGCAATGCAGTTAAAAGCAACGAGAGTACTTCTTACAATGAAGTTGAGGTCAACAACAGAGACGTATATTATAGAGGAGGCCACGGCGGTGGCAGCAGTAGCGGAGGTGGAGGTGGTGGCGGCAGCGGTGGCGTGGGTGGGGATGGGGAGGAGGAGGAGGAGGGGGTGGATGGTGGAAATGGGGATGTGGGGGACAGCCAAAAGGGGGAAAAGGAAGAGGAGGAGGACATAACCATAACATTAACCGCCACCACATATACGGGAATAGATTCAGCAAGAATGACTATAAACTAGGAGAGTTTGCGCAATGCACGAGACGAGGGCGTTGCAGAGGCATGAGATTAGATTGCCCACTTCACTGTGGTGGACCTTGCTTATACGACTGTCAGTACATGTGCAAAGCCGACTGTCATCATTCTCCAATTCACTACTAATTTACGCTAACATTCTGATAGAGTCCAGTAGGAAATTGAAACGGAAAACTGAGAGTGTATTGATATTTTTCTGAGAAAAGAAAGCAATACAGACTCTCAGCTTACATGCTTTGCACACCTAGCGTAGGTGAAACGGATCATTGGAGGCTTATCACATCTTGAGACATGATTCAGTTCAGAAGGAAGACTAATTTGAAGCTAATAAGGAGTTCTCAAATCCAGCTTGTTGGCTTATTAAGATCAATGTTTTTTATTCTAGCTTTTCCTATGATGAGCTACGTGTTTGTCATGATTTTGCTAGTTTGTTGCTTGGTTTGTTTTTTATTCCATTTTCGTTTGGTTTTGGTCTTATTAGTTGAGTCTCGTTGTTCTAGTATGAGTGGGTATGCTCTGAGTCTGCATGCATGTTTAAAGTTGTAACGACTTTTGATCAGTCTTTGCTTGGAAGAAAACTTTGATTTATTAATATTGTCCGGTTTACTGTAAGCTTTTTCAGCTCCATGAATATTGAATATGATCATGTTGGGGTTTTGGCTGGTTATCCATTCACAAAGAGCAGCTTCCAAACTTTCCTAAAGGGTAACTTTATTATTTGTGTATTTGTTCCATTATTTGTCCTACTCGTGATGAACTTAATTAGAACGATATTTATGTTTGTCAGGGAAACTGTCTTTGGGGTTGGAATGGATGCAATGACATTTTGGTTTTAATCACTTGCGTTAGTTAGGGGTGTAATTCGGCCGGGTAGCTAGGGTCGGGTTGGGCTGAAAAATTGAGCCGACCCGTTCAGTGCAAGTTGAGAAAATTTCAGGTTGCAACACTCTCCTAAACCCACAAACCCGTAACCTATCGAGTGACCTCAGATAGGCTCGGATTACTCGGGTTGGCAGGCTTGGTCCCTGAACATTGGGCTTGTGTCCAAAGGTTACTGTCTTGCTGAAGCAATTTTCTTCCTACGAGTACAAGGTCCAAAAGCAATATGAAAAAGTAGAAGTTTTTTTTTTTTTTGGAAACACAATAATTGCAACTTCTCTTTAGTAACTAAATTGGCACATTTAGATTTCCATGCCTAACTAACAAAGACCCAACAAAGACTGTAATCCATAGAGGCACTATATAATGAAGATGAGTTTGCCCAAAACCTATTCATTTTCTATCGATTAGTACACAAGTATTCAACCTGCTGCCAAGTAAATGGTGAAAACCAGTTTTAATCTATGACTTCATACCTCTTTTAACAATCGAGAAGCATAAAATCCATAAATAGTCTATAAGCATTAACATAACATCAAACATACTTCTTTAACAGTCAATAAAGTCTAGAAATAAAATTAACAATACGTCAAATAAACAGTCTATACAGACATAGTCCAGCAAAATAGAAAATTTAGTCCACTCTAAACAGTTTAATCCAGAATAATAACACCTCCATTCCCAACTTGCCCCTCATGTGTTGCAACAGAATTTGACAAATCTTGAGAAGAAAATGTAACAAAAAAATCATTAGAATCAAGTTTAGGACAACAAAATAAACAACAAGGAGATGAAATAAAGTTAAAAAAGAAAAAGTAAAACGTAAAAATATTACCCGACACAATATCTTCATATTCATTAAACTCTTCCATATCAATAAGGTTGATATGCTCATGACTACGCAGCTAATTTTGTGTACAAATCAATGCATCCACCATCTTGGGGCTCAATGAACTCCTAAAGGGATCGAGGATGCGACCTCCGGTACTAAAAGCAGATTCTTACGCTACCGTTAAAACAGGAATGGCAAGAATGTCTCTTGCAACTAGTGAGAGAATCTTGTAATTAGTTGCATTATTCTTCCACCAATCTAAAACATTAAAATTTGACTGAGTTGGATCCTCCATAAGGTCTGTCAAGTATCTGTCCACATCATTTTGGTACTCATTCACATTCTTCTCCTTCATTTTCCTAGCAAAGGAGCTCCACAAACACCTTTTTCCTTATGCTTCCGTTTTTACCTCTGTTGTACATGTTGTTGCCGCCTCCCCACTACTTTCATTAGCTGCAGATTCACCCTTATCCTCACTATAAACCTCATACAACCGGTACATAGTATCCTTCATATTCTTTGCTAATGTTTTAGAAGTGCAAGAATCATACACTATAGAAAAATAATATGTCAAATAATCCATTTTGTACCTAGGATCAAGTACAACAGCCACAAATAGAAGACAAATTATATTCTCAACATTCTCCCAATACTTGTCATACTTTTTTTTCATACTCATAGCCATAGATGAAAGCATTGAATCGTCTTGTTCGCTTAATTCAGATAGCTGGTTTTGCATCTCACAAAGCTCATGAAAGTAAGAATTTGAAGTGACATTCAAAATGACACTAAAATTCAAAGATATATCTGTTGGTTACCGAATCGAATTCGGATGCGGAAGCATGGTGGAGGCGGATCAAGTGTAACAAAAATTTTCAAAAAACTTTTGAGATACTCTATAGATTATATTAATTTATGCACGAATAAATTAATCATATTAATTTATATATTAAGAACTCGATTAGGAAAAATACCTGGAGGCCGACTCGGTTGATAACTTGAGTTCTTTGACCCCGAACGATCCTTGCTCCAAAGCCTTGTGTTTAGAAAACCAAAATCTTCCACGTCAATTCCTTGAATCTACGTAGACTTGTGTGTGGGCACACTCGAGACTAAAACGGGTTAGTGTTGGAAAATAATGGCATCGAGTGCGCAGCGGAATTTTAAAAAATTTAAATCAATGCCAAAGCCAATCAAGAACATGTTCATGATGCTATATAACATAAATACTAAAGATCTAAATCATACCTTTTGAGATTTTAGGAAACTGCACGTCTGACAGATCAAAGCGTTCCAAATAGCAACCGGAAGAGCCTCAACCAACTGGTCTTCTTTGCTATTCTCGTTTCCACGATCGGAGTGCGGGTGTTCACACGTCGTTCAATCTCCTCTTGGTATTCTTGATCTTCTTCCAATCACAAGAGAGCAAAAGAAAAAATTGTTCTTGAGAATTAAACAAATTTTCCTCTCAGGAATCTTTTATCAATAGCCTCCAAAAAGTCTCTCAAGTGATCTTATGAGTAATGTGACTTAATAGGATATTTATAGTGTTTAGGAAGTCATACTTTCGTAATAATTAGGTTTCCCAAAGTCTTAATCGCATCTAGAGTCGATTTTGCCACGTCAGCATGCATTTTACGTTACAACCGGTCGACCGGTGACAGAGACGTTATAACTCACCAGTCGACCTGTCCTTCATGAACCGGTCGATCGGACCGGTCGACCTGTGACCGGTCTACCCAACCGGTCAACTTGTCTGCACTGATGAAAGTTGTTTTCCTAGTTTTTCAACACTGGAAACTTGCATAGAGTCTCAGTTTTGATTCAAGCAACCCAATAAAGAAATTGCCTGATCAAAACAGTCATATAATAATCTTCCCATATTTAACAACTCTTAAAACAATAATTCAACTAATTTATCTAAAATTAATTTATCAATTAATTCACCCAATAAATCACTCATGAATTAACCATTCTCATATTAACTTGGAACCTCTTTTACGGAAATAACACAAGTTACCAATATATAGAAAATACGTCGTATCGTTACAGGAAAGTATGTGAGCTAGCAAAGGGACCCAATGGACATATATAAACCAAGCTCCTATAATCACAACGCTACTTGTAAACCAACAAGTCTGTCTCATGATTATAAAACTCTAGCGCTATTCCACTAAAAGCCTAGAGCTGCACTCTCGATTTATATAGCGCATTTACAAAGCTCTGATTAGCTCTAGTCCATGACTCAATATATTAGTGTATCATCCCCATAGGATATCCATAATCGACTTGAGGTCAAGTTCCGTTTTACCTTCCCGATTACATTTATCTTATGTTCCATTATCATACCATCGAAAAAACACTATTCGTATAATTACAAACAGTAAACCATTAGATAACACAGAGTAGGCAACATAACAATCTTAACATGAATAAAGCACCCAACTTTATTCCCTCGATTGTGGATCATAAAATTTAGACTATCATCTTTAGATTTTTGTCTTCTGCATGTTCTTCACATTACATGCATGACCTAAAGATTTAGAATGATAGTCTTAAACTTTCAGTTTGCTTATCATACATTCAACTATTATGAACATAAAGAGGACAATACATAGATATATGAAATAAACAAATCTTTATTAATAGTCAAAATGTCTCAAAGAATATCATTACATTTATTCTTAAGGGCATAAACTCTAATAGTTAGATCAAACACTCAAATTTTCCACAAACACCAACGCATGCACGGTGTAGAATTTTTTGGGAAAAAATTTTTTGTTGATGATTAATGTTAATCGTAAAATGATAATAATAACAACAATTTGTTAAAATTTTTAAAAAAAAAAAAAAAAAAAAAAAAAAAAAAAAAAAAAAAACTCCAAATGATGCAGCAACGGCAAAAGAACCAGCAACTGATCCGGTGGCGGTTGCTGCAGCAACAAATCCACTTGCTCCAATTGCTGGTATAAGACCACCCAATGTGGAAGCTAAGGCTCCCAATCCCAGCGCAATTGCTGGAGCTGCTAAGCCTGTGGAAAAACTTAATGTGACACGACATAAAATTAAAAGTTTAAATTTAAATAATAGGGATTAATTTACAAAAATTAAGAAAATAAATATATATATATATATATAAATACTAATATATATTAATCTGTAATCTTTTATTTTAAAGTAATTACAAACAGACCAAAAATATGTACAGCTTCTCAAAATGAAATAAATCTAGGACAGTGCCAACAAATATTGTTTACATACACTAACCTTGGCACCGTGGTGAGAGCACTTGCGTTTGCACTTGGGGTTTAGGGTTCGAATCCTGGAAACGGTCTCTCCTTCGGGGGGTAAGGCCGCATACATATGGAATTAAACTTTCTCCCGAGCCTGTCATAGTACGAAAGCCTCTTTGGCACTAAGGGTCCGCCTTTTAATACAGTACAACTTAGAATTAAAAACCATGAAATCATAATAAATCAAACCATCTCAAATCTTGAGCCTTTAGTCTACTACTATAAACATACTACGTTGTGGGGGCGCGAGGCATGTCCAAGGGGGAAAAATAGGGATAATAATAATAAAACAAGTAAAATAATTAAAGTGACTCAACATCAAATCATAAGTACAATGCATAACTCAAATGCAGGTAACGGAAGTATATGAAAAATAAGTACGTTGATTGGAGGTAATAGAATAGAAAGGAAATGTCATTATGAGAAAATGGTATAATTTCATCATTTGGTTGATAAGTTTAGGTCAGAAATACCTTTCTAACTGAAAGCTCATTCACCCAAATTGGGTGAATCAGCATTCACGTGGGGGAGAGAGAAAATGCGTTTGGAACTCGTTTTAAAATAATTTTATTTTTTGTATGAAATGAAAATGCAAATATGTTCAATCTCAGACAGAAATCATTTTTGAAAATGCGTTTGGTAGTTTTAATAAGAGATTATTTTCAGTGTAAAAAACTTATTAATGTCTCTCTTTCTCTCTCTCTGCTCAAGAGAGGAGAAAATGAAAATAAAAAATGAAAAACGACTAAAAGTTATTTTTCATTCTCTCTTATTTTACACTAAACTAAAAAATCATTTTCATTTCTGTTTATTGTCTTTATTGCGCCAAACATCGTTTTAAAAATATTTTCATTTTTTCTTTATCAAAAAACGTGAAAAACAAAAATGGGATTAATTCTAAACACAGCCTATAATTTCGATTAATTTTCCTTTTTTTAAGGAAAGGTGGTTTAATGAATTTCTTTTAAGGAAACTTTCCTTATTATTAATTTCATATATTTTACTTTTTAAAATTTAAATTTAAATATTTGAGATTAACATTTTATTTTATGTTCTTTCCTATTTTGTTGACTCTTTAGTTTTGTTTTCTTTTTTATTATATAAGAGTATCAATGTCTTTATATGCATGTTATTCGGTATTTTTATAAATAAAATAATAAATAGATATTTTTGAATTCGAGACTATCAAAATAGACATTTATACAAATAACCTATTTGTTTAAAAAAGTAATAATTATCATTGATGGCCTATTTAATAATGTCGGCCCAAATAGTTGTAAGGCCGCTCAGCCGCTGGCGATATGACAATTATCACATCCCAAATGGGTATAGAGAGAGACGTTGCATTTTCCAAAATATTTTACAATTAACTTTGTTATTCTTAGTGTTAGTATTTATGCCCTTAGAAATAAATCTAATAATGTTCTTTAAGACATTTTTACTATTAATAAAGATTTATTTATTTCATATATTTATGTATTATCTTTATTATGTTCATAATAGTTGAATGTATGATAAACAAACTGAAAATCTGAGACTGTCATTCTAAATCTTTAGGTCATGCATGTAATGAGAAGAACATGTGGAATACAAGAATCTAAAGATGATAGTCTAAATCATATGATCCACAATCAAGGGAATAAAGTTGGGCGATTTATTCATGTTAAGATTGTTATGTTGTCTACTTCCTAACGGAGACAGCTTGTCTTGGTCGTCAGAGGTGGGACTCCATGGGTAGAGACATTGATATAGTTTCTAATGGTGAAATCTATATTAGGTCGGACCAAAGTTGAATTGTTTTAATTAATAATTTTGTTTGAATAAAACAATTCACTTTTGATGAATTATATGTTGTCATCTTAATCTTGAGATGGATGATGAACTCGTATGCTTGACTTGTATCCTTTGATGTACCAAAGGGAGACATCCTGACATTATTTAAAGGTATGCTTACCGGTACATTAGGGGTATGACTTGTGTATGCGTAGATTCGTTATTCATAGATAGTAGAACCCATAGCTCTTACAAATAATCAATGATATCCTCTTATGCATTATCTGTGGATTGGAAAATACGAGCGCTCGGCCATTAGACTATTCTGTGTTATCTAATGGTTTACTATTTGTAATGGTACGAATAGTAGTTTTCTGATTATGTGATAATGGAACATAAGATAAATGTAATCGAGAAGGTAAAACGGAACTTGACCTCAAGTCGATTATGGATATCCTATGGGGATGATATACTAATATATTGAGTCATGAACGAGAGCTATTCAGAGCTTTGTAAATACGCTATATAAATCGAGAGTGCAGCTTTAGGCTTTTAGTGGAGTAGCGCTAGAGTTTTATAATCATGAGACAGACTTATTAGTTTACAAGTAGCATTGTGATTATAGGAGCTTAATTTATATATGTCCATCGGGTCCCTTTGCTAGCTCACATAATTTCCTGTGACGATACGGTGTATTTCCTACATATTGGTAACTTGTGTTATTTCTATAAAAGAGGTTCAAAGTTAATATGAGATTGATTAATTCATGAGTGATTTATCGGGTGAATTAATTCTAGATAAATTGGTTGAATTATTATTTTAAGAGTTGTTTAATATGGGAAGACTATTATATGACTATTTTGATCAGGCAACTTCTTTATTGGGTTGCTTGAACCAAAATTGAGGCTCTATGCAAGTTTCAAGTGCTGAAAAACTAGGAAAACAAGTTTCGTCAGTGCAGACAGGTCGACCGGCTCATGAAGACAGGTCGACCGGTGAGTTATAACGTCTCTGTCACCGGTCGACCGGTTGTAACGTGTAGCGCATGCTGGCGTGGTAAAATCGACTTTGTAAGCGAGATAAACTTTAGAAAACCTAATTGTTACCAAAATTTGACTTCCTAAACACTATAAATAGCCCATTAAGTCACATTATTCATTAGATCACTTAAAAGACTTTTGGTGGCTATTGACAAAAGATTCCTGAGAGGAAAAATTGTTTAATTCTCAAGAAAGATTTTTCCTTTGGCTCTCTTGTGGTTGGAAGGAGTTCAAGAATACCAAGAGCAGATTGAGCGACGTGTGCCCACCCGCACTCCGATTGTGGAAACGAGAATAACAAAGAAGTCCAGTTGGTTGAGGCTCTTCCGGTTGCTGTTTGGAACACTTTGATCTCTCAGACGTGCAATTTCCTAAATCTCTAAAGATATGATTTAGATCTTTAGTATTTATGTTATATAGCATCATGAATATGTTCTTGATTGGCTTTGGCATTGATTTAAATTTTTTAAAATTCCGCTGCGCACTCGATGCCATTATTTTCTAACTATTGGTATCAGAGTCATGGTTATTTGTTCATGATTATGCTATGTACATAGATTTGTGATATAAAAATATCTCATTTATGCTTGAATTGATATTTTAGAGAGATGGCACTCTAGG